TGAAGGGGCAGAAACCGGACATGATTGAATAATTTAGTGGAAGAGACTTCTTACGTTTTTCACCTGCATTTTTCACTTCCGTGATCTTCGAAACACTTGCTGTACTTGGAGAGTGGCTGTGGTCTACAGATTGTGTCTCTGCTGTCCCTTTGCAAGTCTGGTTATTGATCAACAGTCACAGTTAACCACGTTCTGCTTTCCCATTGAAATCTTTTCTCTTCCACCGTTAAGTAGCCTCGGACACTCATCACGGCCTTTCCGCGAGGGAACACTTCCACAGCTCTGTTCCATGTTGTGAGAAACACAAAAGGAATCTTTGACTTCCCCAGTGCCAGACCTATATTAGGCTTCTCCAGCGGGACAGAACTGATAAGATATGTATTCAGACATAAGAGCGGGCATTTACCTGGGAAATGGGCTCACATGATTATGGTGGCTGGGAAGTCCCATGACAGGCAAGCTTGAGATCCCATGATGCCAGGGGCAAGGCTTAGTCCAAGTCCAAAGGCCTCAGAGATGCCAGTGGTCCAGTGGTCTCTATCTCTGAGTCCACAAAAGCCTCTCCTGATGGCTGCTCATGTATGTCCTGGAGCCCAAGAGGGCTGCCAATGTATTTCCTGGAGTCTAAAGGCTGGCAATCCTGGATTTCTCATGTCCAAGGCAGCAAAAGAAGAGTCTGTCCCAGGTCTCAGAGAAGGACTGATGTGCTTTCTGTGTCTGTGTTTACTTTTTCTATGCCCTGGTTGATTCGCTGGTGCCTGCCAACACTGAGGGCTGCTTTCCCCCGAGTCCACTCAGACTCATGTGTGCATGAGCGAGGTATTATCAACTCTAAAACAGGGCTGATAAGAATCACAGGTTGAAGACCCACTTGTTCAATGCCAGCACAAAAGGTTTGTAAGGGCAGGCGTTCATTCCTGCTACTCTCAAGTTTATGATTACGCAAGTGCATTTGGAATCTGTTTAGCTGAGAATGTTTCCATCTCCTCCAGAAACACCCTCACAGGTGCAACTCAACTTCTGTCTCACCAGACGTCTGGGTATTTCGTAGACAAGTTGACACCCGCAATTAAGTCCACAGGTCCACCTCTCGTCAGCCTGTCGTCCACATGCCTCTCCTTAGACTTAACTTCCAAATAAAGACCTAACAGGTTTGTAGTTCGGCCCCACACGGCGCAACTGTCCTGTGTACAGACAGACAGGCAGCAATCCTTTCCCCAGGACTCAGCTTTCCAGATCTCAGCATTCGGATTTTAATCCGACATGAGGGATTTTAGATTTAGGGATTTCAGCATTGCAGCTTATGGAGTTCAGGACTGTGTCTTTGGGGATTACGATCGACCCCTCAAAAAAGGCACATGACCAGAATGGTGAAGAAAGGATGCAGGCCCGAGGGCGGCCCATGCTCAAATCCTGTCTAATGCACAGACTGCATTTGCTGGCTTTCAAATCGTTGCCTATTACTCATACCTGATTAAAAAAAGCAGCAGGCACCGAGAGCTCTCTGGAGGTGGCCCTCTCTGGAGACACCTCGGTCCTGGCGTGCTGGGGTCTGGTCATCAAGGCTGTGCTGGGGCCACAGCCTGTCTGCAGGTGTGCTTTCTGGGTCATGGGGTGGGGAACCCAACGAGGTTGGCCATCTGTGGAGGGTAACAAAACAGCCCCAGGGCCAGCTTGAACCAGGAAGCCACGGATGCCCGGCAGGGGAGGACAGTCTGAGCGCCTCTACAGGCCAGGCCAGGAGCCGGATGGGCACGGCCACTTCAAAATCCCTGAAAGCAAATGTGGAACCTTGAGTGAGTGTATGGCCGGGAAATGACCACAGCTTTATCCTGAGCTGGGTGAGGGTGGGTCTGCCACTGCAGGGCTGAGGGGAACCTCTGTCTGCCCCTTGCCACAGGAGCTTGGCAGTGAGCGTGGGGTGGCCCTCTGAGACAGCAGCAGCTCCTGGCTTGGGGTCTGACCCATTTCCAGACACGAGTGCATGAAGACAAAGGCCATGGGTCAGGTCCTGCCCTGTCGCTGGTCTCCTGAGCTGTTTGTTGGGAGCTGGGTGTGCCCCGGCCAGTAATTGAGCTCAGCTACTCCACCTCGTACTCTGGTCAAAGATGAAGGGGGCACATGGTGGCCTGCAGGGCTGTGGGACAGTGCCGCAAGGCTCAGCTGTGGTGGGGCAGGGAGCAGTCACCCTCTGTCTTGGTCTTTTTTATGTTGCTATTACAGAATAACTTCGGATGGGTAATTTATACAGAAAAGAGGTTGGCTCATGGTTCTCGTGGCTGGAAGGTTCAAGATTGGGCAACTGTGTCTGCTGAGGGCCTCAGCGGCTTCCACTCATGGCCCAAAGTGGAAAGGGGCAGGATGGGCAAGGAGACCACATGGAAAGAGAGAAAGCCAGACTGCCAGACTTTTTTTTTTTTTTACTTTTAAATCATTATTTTTAGAGATAGAGTCTCACTCTGTTGCCCGGGCTGCCGTACAGTGGCACTATCGCAGCTCACTGCAGCTTGACCTCCGGGGCTCAAGCGGTCCTCCTGCCTCAGCCTCCTCAGTCACTGGGACCACAGGTGTGGCCACCATACCTGGCTAATTTTTTTTTTTTTTTTTAAGAATTGGGGTCTTTCTACGTTGCTTACACTGGTCTGGGACTCCTGGCCTCAAGTGATCCTCCCACCTCAGCCTCCTGAAGTCCTGGGATTGCAACTAGACTGTAACAGCTGCTCTCCAGGGAATGAATCATTTCATGAAGAACTCACTCTCTCCCTCGGGGGAGGGGGGTGTCAATCCATTCATGAGGGATCTGCCCCCATGACCCAGACCTTTCCACTAGGCCTCTCTTCCATCACTGCCACCCTGGGGTCCCCATTTCAAGATGAGTTTCGGTGGAGACAGACCACATCTGAACCACCTTCTCTGACCCTCTCCTGGTGCCAAGCTCTCTGGCCAGTGAGGAAAGGGACCCTCACTCTTGCGTTTGCCGAGGGTGGAGGCAAGGGTGGGCTGGGAGAGCAGCTTTAGTGAGGACAGAGGAGGAGAGGGGTGATGACGTCCTACCTCGGAAGCTCTGTGTCCCACTCTGGCTGCACCACGGCTGGGCCACGCTGGGCCTGTGGTGTCTGGTTCTTGCCTTGACCTTCTCAGGACGGGCGGTGGACTCGGAGAAGGCCTTGCCCAGGCTCCAGCAGTGCCCATCCCATCCTTCTTCCTTCCTCATGGACACCACGTCCTCTTCAAAGTCCATGCCCTCTGTGGGACAGAACTGTAACTCTACCTGCCAGCAGCTGACCATGGTTCTCTTCATTTCTAGTTGAGGACCTGTTTTGTGGGAACAATCTTAGCCCATTCAGAACCTGTAAGCATTGGGGAACTTCCCTAATTCTGGCTCCTTGCAACCCAAAGAAGGTCAAGGGAGTCCACTGGCTCTGATCTGGTAGGACTTTCCGAAGTGACGACGGCGTCCCACACGCTGCCTGGCCTGCTGTAGGAGGAACCAGCTGAACACGGCTCCTGAGCTCTTAAAATGGGCCTGGGTTTAACCAGGAACTGACTTTTAGTTGATGTTGTCACTTTAAGTAGTGCTGTGTGGCCACTGGCCACACTATGGACAAGGAGGACCTGGACTCTTAAAAGTGGTTTATCTGGTCAGGTATGGTGGCTCACGCCTGTAATCCCAGCACTGTGGGAGGCCGAGGCGGGTGAATCGCTTGAGGCCGGGAGTTTGAGACCAGGCTGGTCAACACGGTGAAACCCAGTCTGCTAAAAATACAAAAATTAGCTGGGGGTGGTGGCGCCTGCCTGTAATCCCGGCTACTCAGGAGGCCGAGGCAGGAGAATCACTTAAACCTGGGAGGCCAAGGGTGCAGTGAGCCGAGACCAAGCCACTGCACTCCAGCCTGAGTAACAGAGGGAGACTGTCTCAAAAAAAAAAAAAATCTCTCGGCCGGGCGCGGTGGCTCAAGCCTGTAATCCCAGCACTCTGGGAGGCCGAGGGGGTGGTTCACGAGATCAAGAGATCGAGACCATCCTGGTCAACATGGTGAAACCCTGTCTCTACTAAAAATACAAAGAATTAGCTGGGCATGATGTTGCGTGCCCGTAATCCCAATTACTCAGGAGGCTGAGGCAGGAGAATTGCCAGGAGGCGGAGGTTGCGGTGAGCCGAGATTGTGCCATTGCACTCCAGTCTGGGTAACAAGAGCGAAACTTCATCTCAAAAAAAAAAAAAAAGAAAGAAAAATCTCTCACAAAAGCTGGTAACAGAGTCAAAGTGTGAATGCATGGGAGGGGGGCTAGCAGGGTGCTGGGTGCTTTGTGCATTGCTGAGATGAAATGAGGAAAAACGTCCTGGGAGGTGGCATTTGGGCCAAGTGTGGTCACCTGAAGCAGCTGGCCTCTGTGCTCGGCTCTCAGCCCTAGGAGGAGAGGTCTGGCAGGGGTGGTCCTTGGCAAGGTTCTTGCAGGGGGCTGCAGGGCCCCTGAGCCTGGTTAGCCAGTTTCCTCTACCAGCTGCTGGACCTGTAGCAAAGGCTGCCACAGAAGCCGTCCCTCGAAGGCCTGCAACTTTCCCTGTGTGTATTTGTTTATTGTAGTCAGGGTCTCACTCTGTCACCCAGGCTGGAGTGCAGTGGCCGGATCATGGCTCACTGCAGCCTCAGCCTCCTGGGCTTAGGCAGTCCTCCCACCTCAGCCTCCCAAGTAGCTGAAATGATTTACAGGCATGCATCACCACACTCGGGGAGTTTTTTTATAGAGATGGGGTTTCACCATGTTGCCCAGGAGGGCCTCAACTCCTGAGGTCAGGTGATCCACTCACGGCCCCAAGGGGCCGGGATGGCCGGTGACACCGTGCCAGCCTCCTCTGTCATCTCCAGTCTCATTGCTAGTTTTTCTCGGCAGGGGGTAAGTCACTTGCTGTGTTGTCACTGAATAAGTGCTGGCCAGGCAGGGCCATTTGTCTTGGTGGGGGCGGGGAGGGCTTTGAAACTTCATTTAGATGCTAACGAACTCTGACGGGGTTGGGCGGTGGCTGCACAGCCTGGAAATCCCCCTGAGCCCAGTCCTGAGACCCAGCACACAAGCAGCCCAGCACTTTTCTTTCTCACGAGTCTCCCTTTCCGCCAGCTGCTGGCCGGTCCCAGGGATCTCACTGCCATCGGGAGCTGCTGAGTGGTCAAGTGCACGTGAGTGACGTGGCCTGGAAGGCAGGAAGGATGGCCCTACCCGGGCTGTCACGTGGCCTTCAGCACAGCCGATGCCTTTACTCCCTTACTGGCGAGGATGTGCAGCTGAGAGGGACCGTGACCTTCCCCGGGGCCTACAGCCCCAAATGGCGGGCGAGGCGCTCAATTCCAGGCGTGTCTGTGGGGTGCCCTCCCCGTGTGCAGGGGCCGCCAACCCTGTGTGAATGTGATCATCACGAAGGGGACTGGTGAGAAGGCTGAGAAGCCTGGGCGCTGGTGGCCATGAGCTCCTAAACTGTAAATACAAATAATGTCCAGAGGTGAGTCTCACTGAATTGTGATTGGGGCAGGGGGTGCACATGTGCGTGTGTGTGTGCATGTATGCATATGTGCGTGCGTGCATTTGTGTGTGCCTGTGTGTACGCGCGTGTGTGTGCCTGTGTTAGTGTGTGCACGTGTGTGCGTGTGTGTGCATGTATGCATATGTGCGTGCATGCATGTGTGTGCCTGTGTGTACGCGTGTGCGTGTGTGTGCCTGTGTTAGTGTGTGCACGTGTGTGCGTGTGTGTGCATGTATGCATATGTGCGTGCATGCATGTGTGTGCCTGTGTGTACGCGTGTGTGCGTGTGTGCCTGTGTTAGTGTGTGCGTGTGCACGTGTGTGTGTGCACGTGTGTGCGTGTGTGTGCCTGTGTTCGTGTGTGTGTGTGCCTGTGTTCGTGTGTGCGTGTGTGTGCCTGTGTTAGTGTGTGCGTGTGCACGTGTGTGCGTGTGTGTATGCCTGTGTTCGTGTGTGCATGTGCACATGTGTGCGTGTGCATGTGTGCGCACGCATACATGAAATGTTACTCTTTGGTCATATTAACAGGGTTACAGTGTGCATAGCGTAGAGGTGACAGTCCCAATGTGTTGTAATCTGATCAAATCACACCTGAGCTCTTCCGTCAGCAACGGGCACAAAGACACAGGTAAATAAGGATGAATGCGGAAGAGGCTGGCTGGTGACGGACCACTCCACTGGGTTTTGTGGGGGGATGTGAAGGAAATGGGCAGCTTGCTGCTCCATTTTGAGGGCTCCCTGGACAGAACTGGGCCTGGAGTGTTCTCTTGAGGATTCAGAGACTACGGCCAGGCTCAGTGGGAAAGATTGCATCGTCGGCTCTTGGAGTCTGTGTGGGTAAACTGAGGCACCGCTGGTCCACCTCCACTCAGGGAGACCATAGCTGGGTGGTGAGCCCGGCAGCGACTTCCGTATCCTTCCAAGACTAATCCAACTAGGAAGGTGTAGACGGCGAGGGTTGCAGTCCACTTTGTGCTGCTCTAACAGAGTATCTGAGACTGGGCAATTCATAGACTGCTCTTGCAGAGTATCTGAGACGGGGCAATTCATAGACTGCTCTTGCAGAGTATCTGAGACGGGGCAATTCATAGACTGCTCTTGCAGAGTATCTGAGACTGGGCAATTTATAGACACAAATTTATTTTCTTGCAGTTCTGGAGGCTGGTATGTCGAGATCAAGACTCCACGAGGTTTGGTGTCTGGTGAGGGCCCCCATCTCTGCTTCTTCCAAAACAGCGCCTTGTGGCTGTGACCTCTGTGGCACAGGAGTGCTGTGTCCTCATGGGGCAGAAAGGATGGGAGGGTGGAAGCGGGCCAAACTCCTCCCGCCGAGCCCTTGGCAGCGGCATCAACCTATTCACGGGGCAGACCCCGGGAGACAAACACCTCCCAAGAGGCCCTGACTCCCAGCACGGTCACCCTGGAGATTACGTTTCCAACACATTCAGTCCGCAGCTGGACGTTTCTCCTTTGAAGTTTTCTTGATTAGTGAAAATAAAATGGACTGAAAATGGATTCATGGATTTTAAAGCCATCAGATTAGGGTGTTTATAAGACGCCGCTGACCTGAAAGCAAACGGTAGCATTAAGTAGAGGGACTATTGCAGCTAAGTGCAACTTTCCGATTAGATGACGACTTTATGAAGTCACAGGCAAATGCCGCAGGTCACCTCCCCTGCCACATGCATGGCCACCAGTTGTGGCAGCTGTGGTAAAAAGATAGAGAGAGGGCAGAGTTGGAGGAACAGGAAGACTTGGGGCCTCCACCCTGTTTTAAGCGGAATAGCTCCATATTCATTGGTTGCTAAGTAGTGTCGCTTTGCTGATGTTATAGTGAACCCCAAGTTTCTCTTCAAAGAATCAGTGTGTTCACTCGCTTGTTCTTTAAATATCTATTTTAAAGTTTGGCTTCCTTGTAGCTTTGGTAAACAACCTTCCGCACGCGTTCTAATCAGTAGTCCACCTCTGTTTCCCTGGCCCCTGCTCTGCCCTGACTCATCCTGGTCACCTGCTCCAGTCACCGTCTTTGACCTAGGTCACCCCTGGCTACCTGCTCTGACCCACCCATAACCGTCCTTCCCGCCAAAACACCCACCCTGCCACTCCAGCTTGGACCCCTGCTCTTTTTAAAATAGCCAATCGAGATTAGTCTAGCTTGTGCGGTCTAACCCTAGCCAATAGGGGAGCCACACAGCAGGAAGGATGACCCCCGTCAGGCGTAAGTGCCCCTTCCCACTTTGTCCGAGCATGTGGCCGCCCATGGCTCCATCTGTGAGCCTCACCCTTCCACAGAAGTAAACTTCCTTGCTGAGAACATCTATCTTCAAGGGCTATTTCTTTTGCAGCATCAAAATTTTACTTATAACAGTGAGTTTTTAGGTGAAGGCCAAGGCCAATCCCTGTCCTAGGGAAAGCATGAAGAGGCCCTGGACTCTATTAAAATGTAAAATATCGGTACTTAGTGTTGGGGGTGGTGCCTTTGCTCAGCAGCCCTTAGGACATACTTGTGAGCCAGCAGAGGCTGTGGTCTGGTACCAGGTATGCTCCAATGGGGGTTCTGGTGGCAGGGATCCAAGGGCCCACAGCCCGGAGACCGTGAAGGCAGACTCCGGGGTCCCAGTGGAGATGCCCCAATGTCTGGAGGGGAAGAGGGAATTAGCATTTTCAACAAAGGTTCAGGTGAGTCAGCTTATTCAGCTGGAAAACCATAGTGATATGGTTTGGATCTGTGTCCCCACACAAATCTTATGCAGAATCGTACTTCCCAGTGCCGGAGATGAGTCCTGGGGGGAGGCAACTGGATCCTGGGGGTGGATTCCCTGCCTTGGCACCGTTTCTGTGATGGCGAGTTCTCCCCAGATCTGGTTGTTTAAAAGTGTGCAGTATCTCCCACCCCCACTTGCTGTTTTTTTGGCCACGTGCGGCGCTGGCTGCCCCTTTGCCTTCCGCCACAATTGTAAGTTTCCTGAGGCCTCCCCAGAAGCCGAGCAGACGCCAGCACTGTGCTTCCTGTACAGGCGGCAGAACTATTAGCCAATTCAACCCCTTTTCTTTATAAATTACCCAGTCTCAGGCATCTCTTTATAGCAACTCGAGAATGGCCTAATACATGTAGCTCCAGAGGACAGCCCAGACAAGAAGGGAAGGTTCCGGAAGGGTCCTCAGCCAGAGTGGCTCTGACAGAGGAAGGGAACAGGCCTCATAAATGGGGGAGCTACTTGGGAATTGGTGGCTTCTGCAATGAAGCTGAGGGATGTGGATGTGGGAGCTATGCATGAGGGCACAATGGCTGGAAAGCCAAGATATTCAGGGAGAAAGTGTAAAACAGTGGACAGGCTCAGCCACCAGCCGGTGTGTTTCTGGCATCCTCCACAGCAATGCACCTGTTCCTTCTCTGCTGCTTGCAAGCCTACCCCTCGTTCAGCTCTGGGTTCTGCCCTCACCCCCCTCCTGGAAGCCCTCCCAGATCTTCCTCCTAGTTCAGCTCACCTCCTTGAAGCCCTGGGGTGTGACTGTGGCCGTAAGCCCTGGGTAGACACACCCTAGTCTAGGTTTGTCTGCCAGGGTCTGAAGAATGTGGGGTTACTTAGCAGGACTCTGTGTCCAGCTGAGGCCATAGGACTCGGGCAAGGAGTGATATGTGTCAGAAGGGAGTCTGATGTCCTTGTCTTTGGGACTTGTTACCCTCCTTCTCTCCCAGCTGGGGTGCTTGTGCTTGGCGGCATATTCGCGTGTGGTGTGTAAACAGGAATGTGTTCCCTGTAGCTGGGGCTGGCTGGGGTAATCACCCATGCAGGAGGGAGCATGCGGTAGAGACTTGTGAGTTTCAGGTGGCCGTGTCCTTTCCTGAGAGCGTGTCCCTTCTCCTCCCAGCCCCTGCCTCTGGCTGGTCTCTTGCCTCCCCCAGGGACCCAGCTCAGGCCTATGGCTTGGCAGCCAGAGCTGAAGCAAGTAGGTGTGCACAGGTCTGCCCTGGCAGAGAAGATGGCACAATGGGCCTCGGTGGGGTGACCCAACTGCCTCCCAGACAGCCCCTCTTGGGGCCGCTGCTGCCCCCTCCGCCCTCCAAGCCAGGTCATTTGGGCTCTAGTGCTTCAGAGAGCATCACCTTCTTTCCATAGAGCTCCTCGCCTCAGTAGTCCCTGCCCGCGGACAACGCCAGCTGCCGGCCCCCAGGATGCACCAGGATAGGGACTCCTCCCAGCGCTGGGATTCCGACTTTATTGGTGGTGGCACTTTCAAGGTCCAGACCTCAGGGGACCAGCTCCCCAGTGCTGTGGACGTATAGTCAGGGTGAGAACTTAGGAGTGGGTTCCCTTGGGGTTGCCAGAAACCCTCGAACTGGACAGGGAGGCTATGTTGAGCTAAGCTCCTGACATTCAGGGGAGACAGGGGTCAAAGGGAAGATCCCACTAACTTCTGAAGGGCTGTGCAATAGAAGGAGCTGGGGTGGGGGCGGCTCAGCCCCTCCAGGGCCACAGTCGGCTGGAATTGGTCACTGTCCTTTCTCAGAAGCAGAAAGTCCAGGGGATGTGGTCACACCGGCTCCCTAGCCCGTGGTGCACACACAGACGCCCCTCTATGGTATGAATAGGCCACTTGGCACAAAATGCTGTGAGTGTGCACCCACTGGGGCTTCAGCTCCAGGCATGAGGGGGGTTTGGAGGGCAGAGGCAGCATGAGAGGACCCGCCCGTGTCTGCAACCCCAGGAAGTCACTGCCCTGGAACCTCAGGGAGTCCCCCTTCCCTTGGCTGTAATGATTTTTGGCTTGGAGCTCTACCTGGGAACCTAGATGCAACCTGCATCCCAGAGGAGGAAGTGGCTGGAGAGGATGTTGGGATGAGATGGGAGGCCCGGCCTGAGGGGCCAGTGGTGGTCTGTGAGCACAGTCCCTGCTTCTCCCTTCTCCAGGGACATGTCCCCCAACTCTGCAGGGGCAGAACCCCTGGTTGCAGGGCCAGGCAGCCAGAGGGGGGGGCACTCCCAGGCCTGTGGCCACCTCCACCTTTTCCCACTTGGCCTATTTGCTCTTTCCAGCTCTTTCTAGCATTTTCTGGCCAGAGTAGAACTTTAGAAGTCCTTGATGGATGAAATCCTTCCTGACTGAGAAGGAGGAACATTACCCTTGTTCCCCACCAAGGTTGGGCCTCCACCTTCCTGGCCAGAAGGAGGTGCAGCAGGAAGGTGACCCTCCCACAGGGGCGCGTCCACCCCAGCCCAGGTTCATGTGTCTGTGGAAGGGACTGGCTTCTCTGCCTCACCTCCCCCACCCTCCTGTACCCCTCTGTCTCCTTCCCTCCTTCCAGGTTGGCTCTGGGACCAGGCCCCTTCTGAGACAGGGATGTGGGGGATGCTGAGGACAGAGGGTGTCTCAGGAACTGGAACATTCTGCCTCTGCAGGCCTGCAGTACCTGGTCCCATGGTGTGGGCAGGGAGGGTGACATTCCTTCTCCTCTGGGGCCGGCTGTGCTCCGGATGCCTCTTAGGCTCTCTTGCAGGTTGTCCTTCTGCATGGAGACCCCCTATAATCCGGGAAGATGCCCACTGCTCTGCCTTTTCCTCTGCTGTGAGGTGCTTCCTAATTCTCACTAGGGTGTGAGTGATTGCTACTCGGTTATCTTTAGTCTTTGAGACGTTTTTGGATTCTTACTGAGAAACAAAACCTTCAGTCCTTTGACCCAAATAAAGTGCATGGTGACCGTCTCCTCCCCTGAAGAACAGCTGCTGAGGGCTGGGAAGGAGAAGGAGAGGGACGCCCCACTGGGGGTCTCTCGAAATCAGCCTAGCAGACAGACACCAGCAGACTGTTTAACCTTCCTGGGCCTCAGCCTTCCCATCTGTAAACCGAAATCATCCAAGCACCTTCTTGGCAAGGTTTTGTGGGTCTGACTGAAGGGCGGCCAGGCACGTCGGGGTCCTGAGCCCAGCAGGCATTGGCACTCCGTTCATGCTCCACTCACCCCTGTGGTGGGGACGGTGCGCACCAGCGCTGGGAAGGGCCCTGGACCTTCACAGCAGACGCCCTCGTGACAGTCTGGCCTCAGAGTCGCCCCCAGCCCAGGCCCACAGCATCACTCACTGAGGACAGGGTGATCTTTGGGCTCCTGTGCAGCTCACGTCTGGCTTCTCCCACCGGCTCTTCCCAGCAGCGGCCTTTGCCAAACCCTCCCACACTGACCCCTGCTGGGGAGAGAGGAAGCTGCTCTGGGAAAAAACGGGGAAGTAGGAAAAGCTCATCACACATCACATATCACAAGAGCAGGCTGCCGGGCACCAGCGAGGCCTAAGCCTGGCCAGCTGGGAGACTTCTCCCACAGCCCCAGCCTTCTGCGACCGTGATCAGCTGCCAGAAGTCTCTCTGTCACTGCACAGAGCTGGGTACAACACAGAAGCCACCTCCTGGAGCACCTGTTGCTCAGCTCACCTGCAGGGAGCACTGGCTTGGGGACACTTCTGCCCTGGGCTCTGGACCTGCCCCAGGCCCCCGCTGGCGTGGGGAGCAGAGCAGGCAGG